AATTTAGGAGATAAATCAATAAATCCATAAGGAAAGATGTGTGGAAATAAAGAGGGGAAGGGAGAGTATAAGTGATAATGAGTCAATCCCCAACTGCAATGCTAGCTGAGTGATACTTGTGGAAATCTGGCAATTCATTTGACCTCTGTCAGGCTGAGTTTTCTCATCTGAGAAATGACATGACAGGGGTGTGGTAGAGAGTAAATGGAATAATGCACACAGAGCACTTGGTATACAGCAGTGCTCTATTAGCATTTCCTTGAAGATTTCTTTTTTTGTAACATTTATTTATTTTGAGAGAGAGTGTGATAGAGAGGGAGCTGGAGAGGGGCAGAGAGAGAGAGAGAGACAGAGAATCCCAAACAGCTTCTGCAGTTGTCAGCACAGAGCCCGACGTGGGGCTCAAACCCACGAACTGTGAGACCATGACCTGAGCTGAAACCCAGGCTTAACTGACTGAGCCACCCAGGCCCCCAAAGATTTCTTTTTTGAGGAGTTATTGGATATAAAGTAGCAAGGGGAGACACAAACAGGAGACACAGCCCTGCCCTCAAGGAGCCTCAGTCTGAGGCTAAACAGCCCTGACCTCAGGAAGCCCCGTCTGAGCGGGGAGACACAGCTCTGCCTTAAGGAGACTAGCAAGGTGGTTTCTCCATTCAGGGAGTGAGCAAGGTAAGGTGGGAAGATAAGTGGTCTCCAGAAGGCCAGCCTGCAGGGTGAGGGCAGCTTAGAGCCGCTCTTGGCTTCAAGCCACACAACTGCAGGCCTGGCCTTCACTTCACATACACATGTACCATGTACGGAGCAGGTTTGTGGGCTTCCCCCCAGCTTAAGGACACCTGAGGGTGCATAAGGAGAGACAATGGTGGACAGGAAAGGGCTTCTGGGACAGGGAACAAGGGAGGGAATCACGCTTTCTCAGGAAGCTTAAATAGAAAAGCCAACACACAGGAAGGACCAGAGAGACTGAAGAAACTCTGAGGGGAGGAGTGGGTAACTGCTGTGGGCTGGTCTTCCACTTCCTGTTTGGCTCTAGGTGAGGCCCTGCCCTGCTCGGGGCACCGCTTCTTCCTCTGTAGAACAATCTGGTGGACTGCAAGGTCCTGCCCAGATGGCTCTACGCGGGGCATTCTCTGAGGGCCTGTGTCAAGTGCATTCCTCACATTGCCTCATCTAAAGCTCGCCGCAGCCGCTGAGAGGGGGATGTGGTCATCCCCATCTCACACAGGTCCAGGGGACGAAGGCCCACAGATCAGAAATGCGGATTTGCAACTCAGAGGCTGGCTCCCTCTACTACGCCCACTCTTCTCACGGGGACATGGGGAATGGCCCGGGTGGGATGTTGTGTTGCTAGGAGCGGGCTCAAGGGACAGCCTATGGGTCTGTCAGAGGGACAAACAGCATTTGAGCTCGGAGACCCCAGCGTCAAGGAGGCCTGCTGGGGCTGGTCACGGGGGTAGGAGGGTACTGTCTGTTCAGTTGTGCAGGGACTGCTGGCCCCTCAAGAGGGGGGCAGGAGCCCCAACCTGACAGCCCTTCTGCTTCAGTCCTCCCACCCGGGACCCCCCTGGGCCCAGCACCAGGTGCCGAGCTAGGGGCTGCAGGGGGAGAGCAGAGCAGTTTCCGCTCCCACCATGCTCTTGGTGCTCCTGGTAGGGCTCAAGTAAGTATTTCAGTAGCAACCGCTTCAGCCAGTGACAAATGTCTAATAGGGCCTCAGGCCATTGGTGAGCTCTGCCCTCATAGACATGGCTGGTGTCCTCACAGGAGGCTCTCTGAGCCTCTTCTTCACAGCTGGCAGGGACCCGGCCACCAGATCACAAGTGACTATTGCCCAGTGATATCAAGTGGTCTGTTTCATTGCCACAGCTGTTTCCTGAGGGCACACGGAGCACATGTGAAGGCTCTCGCTCCTCCACCCTGCCTAGCCTCGGCCACGAGTCCACATTTACTGTGCACGTACTATGTACCAGCCACTTTTTAAAGCCTTTTTACACACATCCCTTCATATGATCCTCATGTCAACTCCACTGTACAGAAGCTGAGGCCCAGAGAGGGTAAGGAACTTGTCCAGAGGGATGAACTGGGAATAAGTTCAGGTGGTCCCACTCTGATCACTCTCCTGTGTGCCCAGGACCACCCGTTCTCTAGGCTGGGGTCCTGTCCAGGCAGGAGAAGTCAGGGACTGCAGATCGTTGGAAATATGGTCACCATAACCCAGGTGGGGATTTTTCTGGACCCAACGAGGCCACATTGTGCAGAACCTTCCTAAAGTCTTAATCATACTGATTAACAGACAGTTCACAGAAAAGGAACCACAAATGGCTCTTCAACATATCAGAAGATACTCAACTTCATTCATAGTGAGAAAAATGGAAATTAAAACAACCTTGTAATACTATTTTTCATCTATCAGGTTGGCAAAGATCAAAAATAGAATCTGTGTGGGTACAGCCATGAAGGGTAGGTTCTTTTGTGCATGTCTGTTGGGGGTGTGATTGTACACCCCCAGGGAGAAATATGGCAGGGATCTAGGGCAATCACAGATAGATCTACAATTTGATGCTGGGATGCCTCCTCTAGATATAGGCACAATATGCACAATGTTTGAATTAGCAGGAGACTGAGAAAGCCCTAAATACCCATCAGTAGGGAACTGACTAGTACCCCAGGACCATCTGTGCAATGGCAATACCATGTAGCTCATTAAAAACCTGGAGAACACTTTCTATTGATAGATATAAAAAGATCTCTAAGATACTGCTATGGAAAAAAAGAAAGGTTCAAGACAGGACATTACCATTTGGGTAAAAAACAAGAAGAATAAGAACATTTGCAGAAACTGTGTTTGCTTGTCATTATGAAGTTTTTTTAGAAGGACATGCAGTTGGCTACAATTTGGGGGGACCTGGAGGCCAAGGGACAAGAATGAGTGGGAGATTAAACATGGATATTTAGAAGCTAGCCACTGAAATTATAATCTCAATGAACGTTGTTGACAACAATTTCTATTATTTATTTACGAAGTGTAGTTTATATGCAACATTATATTAGTTTTTAGATACAACATAATGATTTGCTATTTGCATATATTGCAAAATGATCACCACCATACATCTAGTTAACATCTATCACTATACCTAGATACAGAATATTTTTTCCTTGTGATAAGAAACTTTTTTATGTAAAATTTTTTATAGTGTTTATTTTTGAAACGGAGACAGAGCATGAACGGGGGAGGGATAGAGAGAAAGGGAGACACAGAATCTCAAACAGGCTCCAGGCTCTGAGCTGCCTGCACAGAACCCGATGTGGGGCTTGAACCCACAAACTGCGAGATCACGACCTGAGCCGAAGTCAGATGCTTAACTGACTGAGCCACCCAGGTGCCCCAAGAAACTTTTAAGATTTACTCTCTTAGCAACTTTCAAATAGGCAATACAGTATTATTATTATTTTTTAAAAATGTTTTATTTATTTCTAGGTGAGAGAGAGAGAGAGACAGCGTGAGCAGGGGAGGGTCAGAGAGAGAGGGAGACACAGACTCTGAAACAGGCTCCAGGCTCTGAGCTGGCAGTCAGCACAGAGCCCGACGCGGGGCTCGAACCCACGAACCGCGAGATCATGACCTAAGCGAAAGTCGGACGCTTAACCGACTAAGCCACCCAGGTGCCCCGGCAATACAGTATTATTAACTATAGTCGCCATATTGTGTATTACATCCTCAGGACTTACTTATTCATAACTGGAAGTTTGTACTTTGGCCACTTTCACCCATTCTGCCCACCTCCCACACCTGCCTCTGGCAATCACCACTTTCTTGGCTTGTTTTTAGATTCCACATATAAGTGAGATCATATGGTATTTGTCTTTATTATTTCACTTAGCATAATGTCCTCAAGGTCCATCCACGTTGTTGCAAGTGGCAAGATTTCTTTTTTTAGAGCTGAGTAACATTCCTGTGTGTGTGTGTTTATGTATAACACCAAAGTTTCTTTATCCATTCACCTATCTTATAATTTTTATTTTAAATCATTATATTTCTATTCTTATGCTTTCTCTTCTTATGTTGTAAAAGTCTGTTATTATGTAATGCATTGTTCATTTGCAACTTAAAAAACCTTGGTATTCAAAATAACCTGCATACACTCAGGTGCACAAAAGTGTGCAGCTTGATGAATTCTGGCACATAAAGACACCGGGGTAACCTCACTCAGGCAGGTAGGGTAGGACACACCCAGACACCTGATGAGGAGGGGGAGAACTTCCACAGTAAAGATGTCTGCCCCTTTTGAATTCTGAACCCACATGAATATATGGTGTGTCCTAACCATATATACAAAAGTATAGTGCAAAAGTAATGCAGGCTGCAGCCTTCAGGTGAGTAAGGAGATCCCACCCGGCTAGGGGCAGAGTTCACTGTGGACAGTAAGCAAGCTGAGGGCAAGGAGTCTAACTGTCTCCAGTCTCAATCCCTGCCCCTTTACAGGCCCTGCGCCAGAGCAGGCCGTCTGGAAATACCTACTGAACAGAACTGATCTGGCCAGAGGGGGCCTTGGTCCCTAGTGACTTTTTAGACGGAAGTAAGGTTGGAGAGGGCTGGGGGCCAAAGGCTGTTGGCCACGAACTCTAGGCAGTCCTGTCCCAGGCACCTGTCCTACCAGGCTGACATGGTTCCAAGAAATCATTGCACACAGGGCCCTGGAAGTACACAGTGTGGCTGGATGCATTTCTATATTCTCTATTTGCTCGCTTCTTGGTTTATCATCTGTCTCAACCCTCTAGAACATAAGCTCTAGGAAGTAGGGACACCGGTTGTCTAGGGTCATTTCTCTACCTTCAGCTTTTACAACAGTGGCTGGCCCATAGTAGGTGCACAACAAATATTTATTGAGAATGAATGAACAAATGAATGACTATTACAGCTTTTCAGAGCTGTGGGATGGGAGGAACTGGCCCCTGGTGAAAAGGCTGAGAAGCCCCTAATCTTCCTCCTCCAGTCGCATCAAGAGCAACGTAGACGGGCGATACCTGGTGGATGGTGTTCCATTCAGCTGCTGCAACCCCAACTCGCCACGGCCCTGCATTCAGTACCAGCTCACCAACAATTCGGCTCACTACAGCTACGACCACCAGACAGAGGAGCTCAACCTGTGGGTGCGAGGCTGCAGGGCCGCTCTGCTTAGCTACTACAGCAGCCTCATGAACTCCATTGGCGCCGTCACGCTCCTCATCTGGCTCTTTGAGGTAGGCTCTGGGCCAGCTGAGGGGAGTGGGAGTCACCTGCCCCTTTTGGATTTAATGGGTGGGGCCCGGCCTGGAGCGCTTGCCCCTCTCCTCAGAACCAGGCCTCAGCCTAGCCGTGGGTCAGGCAGCCCTAAGTCTGGATCCCAGCACCTCTATTTTTTTTGTTTCTCTCCTATCACTCAAAAAATAATTGATTGAGGTGAAATTCACAGAACAGAAAATGAATCATTTTAAAGTGAGCAGTGTAGTGGTATTTAGTACATTCACAATGCTGTGCAACTACCACAACATCTTCTACCACCTCTGTCTAGTTCCAAAACATTTCCATCACTGCCAAAGAGCAGCTCATAGCCATTAAGCAGCATATTTCCCATCCCCCTGCACCCACCCCCACCCCCTCAGCTCCTGGAAACCATTAATCTGTGCTCTGTCTTTGTGGATCTATTCTGAACAAAATTCTATATAAATGCCAACATAATATGTGACCTTTTCTGTCTGGCTTCTTTCACTTTGCATGTTTCAGAGGTTCATCACGTGCCTTTGTTTTTTCAGCCTGAGGTCTTGGAAAGTTACTTAACATCTATGTTATATGGGACCGACAGCACTTAGCTTTGGGAGTCCTGGGGGAGGGGATCAAGAGGTGATACGTACACTGTGTTCAGGAAATGAGAGCTATTTGGATTTGTGCTTCTCTCAAGATTCTGGTAGCAATTTAGCTGTTATTCTAACTAACTATGGGTTCATCCGATCTCACCTGTAAGGCTTATTTCCTCTCTGTACAGAACTTGGGATATAGCAAGTTGTCACTCATTTATTGAAGTTATTTCTTAAAACACCTAGGGAGCGCTGGGCGCTGTCCTCGGTGCTGAATGAGAGCAAGTGTTAGTGAGTGGTAAACCAAGGTGGTACAGAGGGTGACTCAGGGGCTCTAGCTTTCAGCTGGCAGCAGAAAATCAACTCCAAAATCTGGAAGTCCAAAGCCAGAAATATTAGTGGGGAAAGTTTGCCCATTAGGGAAGATTCACTGAAAGTTTCCTTTAAGTAAGTCGCTCTCTTAGTGCTATGGAATTTCACATATAGCTGTGTCCTGGGCTGAGATGACAACTTCTAACTCACCACATCACATTGCAGGTACTGTATTGTCTGGGGGTGGGCTGGCTGGGGAGGGAGGGTTTCTTTTCATGTCAGGGCATTTACTGGTCACTGACCACTCACAGTCTTGGGAATGAATGGGTAGAGCGAGGCGAGCAGCTTACTGCTGGAAGGTCATAAGGTCATGTCCCCTGAAAACCCATGAAAAGACTGAAAGGCTAACAGTGGGAAAACAGGGTTCCACTGGCTGCCTCTCAGTTTGCTCACCTTTCCAGGAAGTTAGTGACTATATGAGATAAGGACCAGCTCACTGGGAACAGGAAGTAAATGCCCTTAACTTTTAGCTGAGGCCTTCAGTTGACAGAGCTCTGTGAAGGGCACAAGGGTGGCTGAACTAAGGTAGAACTCTGGCCAGAGCCTGGCCCTCCTGGGCCTCACAATCCAGTTAGGAGGTGACATCTAACTCATGAACCAAAGGGAGACCCATTACCAAGTGCAAAATTCATAATGCAAAGCAGAAGGCCAACTTCAGGAAAGGAGGAGGGAACCAGAGTGGGAGCATGTACACCAGGAGGACTCCTGGAGGAGGTGAGTTTTTCCACCATAAACATATTTTATTAAACTTTCAATGGACAATGACAATAATGAAAACCTAAAACTATCAGCTACTACCATCATCCACTACTGCAATTATAAAGTGTTCCTACAGCATTCATTCAGTAGATGTTTACTGAGGCCCTACCACCACTAGGTGCTATTCTGGGGGCTGGGAGACTGAGTGAACAAGCTGCATCAGGGGGTGGTCTCCATGAGCAAGCCTCGCCGGGTCACAGAGCTTGCTATACCACAAAAGGAGAAATGTAAGAGCGGGTAAACCAGGAATCTGTGTAGAAACAAGGCGGGGCCAACACGATACATTGGAAAAGTGAAAACAGTACTTACCACACGAATAACCAATTACAGCTGACACATCTATTCATCCTTACTGGGCACCACGTACCATGCTCTACACATCCTGACATGTCACAGCATGCACAAGAGTCAGGAGACACTCCATCTGAAAATTTGCAAACCAGATGAGTAAACTGAGGTCTCTTAGCCAGATGGCTGGCTAAGTACCAGGACTGGGGTTTGAACCTAGGCATTTTGGCACCACAGCCTGCTACAGTGACTGCTAGCGAACAAATGCAAACAAATCACCCACTCATCCCCACGTTAATCAAAATAGCAGAAGTGGAAGGAAACCACATATGATCATATTGTTTCCTGAGAAGGAGGTGACTTTTTAGTCCTGTCTAGCAAATAGTTTACCCAACACCGCATATGTGCCAAGCAATGTGCTAGGAACGGGGTGGGGGTGCAAGGAGGAGAAGCCTAGTACTGCCCCCAGAATGGGTGAGACTGGAGAGGAAGAGGAGGGAGAATGTGTAGCAGGGTCACTCATCGAGGGTTGAAGATGAATTGAAGGCGGAATGTGGCGAGGAACAAACAGCAAGTGGTAAAGACTGGAGGGATGAAAAGTGTGGATGGGACCCAGAGAAGCCCAGGGTGGCCAGAAAGGGAGAATAGGGCTGGAGATGAGGTTGGAGAAGAGGCAGCTATTTTGAGCACCAGGCCAGGCTGGTGGGCAGGCCGTCACCAACCCAGACTCAGCAGAGCCTGTCACACTTGAAGGGCCCCGGAATGAATAGGCTGGTGGCTTGCATGGTTTCCTAATAGCCCCAGTCCCCACCTACTTCTCCCAGACCTCCTCTAAGTCTCTTCTCCCCACCAGGTGACCATCACAATTGGCCTGCGCTACCTATACACAGCACTGGAAGGTGTGTCGAACCCTGAAGACCTTGAGTGTGAGAGTGAGGGCTGGCTTCTGGAAAAGAGCGTGTCGGAGACTTGGAAGGCCTTTCTGGAGAGCTTGAAAAAGCTGGGCAAGAGTAACCAGGTGGAAGCCGGGGGTGCAGATGCAGCCCAGGCCCCAGAGGCTGGCTGATAGCTCCGGGGCCCCCTCCCCTCCTGAACACTGAGAAGTAGCGGACTCCAAGAAAGTGGATACTCCCCTTGTCCAATCTGAATCTCCCTAGGAGGGTGGCCATCGTACAGAGACTCTTTCTGATGGTGGGATTTAAAGTTTAGGATCCCTAAAAGCATTTGGTAAACATTTGTTGAATATCCTAAAATGTCAGTGAATGAGCTGCAGCTCAGGCCCACTACTTCCAGATACGCCCCTATGGTGGACTCAGGGCGCCTCTCAGTGGATCACTCTTCCTAACACACGAACTCAGTTCCACCCTGAGGCTACTGACCGCACTGAGGGCAACTCCTCTTTGAAGAGTTTGCCATCACGAGCTCCAAGTTGTTTCATTCTATATCTAAAGCGTCACTTGGTGCATAAGCACAGGAGTCTGAAAAACGTACTGGCCATGTTGTCATTTTTCTTTTTTTAAATGCCAAGACTGACAGACAGCTGTTTTGTTTGTGTAATGGTGGAGGGCGGGGGATGGTGATACTTTTCTAAGAGTAATGGGCTCTCCAAAGCACTTAAAGACAGAGGATTATTTTCCTCACCAAAAACATAGTTAAAGGTTACTCTTGTGTCGTATTCCCATGCCCTCACTTAGCCTGGAGTGAGCTATGGGCTGAGGAAATCAGGTTGTTGGCTGTTCTGGCAACATCGCACCCCTGTGGTGCCAGGTGACCTCCTTTGGCTTATCTCTGGAAGCCCTGGACTAGGTGGCTGCTCTTTACTGGAGGAGGAGGACTAATGAGACAAGAGTCTCCCTTCTGGACACTGGGCCTCTCCTCTTGGACCCACACAGGTGGCCGTGACAGCCCGCATGGACAACACTAATGGTCTCCAGTGGAGAGCAAAGCATCCTCTGGGAGCTTCTTCCTGTTTCTTTCCTCAGATGCCCATCCTGCAGAGCAATATTTCTGGAATGCCTCTGTACTGAAGAAGATTCTCTGAAACAGTCCATCTTTCCACGCTAGTGACCGCAAGAGAAATTTTACCTTCTCTCAGGGAAGAGGGAAAAGGGAAGCTTTTAGGGGAAGGAGAGAATGGCTTCATTGCTGTGCTGAGTGTTCAGTGGGGAGAAAAGACTCTGGATGCTGCCTGGGGCATGTTCTGGGGCTCTAATTCTCCCAGGCGTTAAGATATTTGGACACTCTTCAGACTTTGGTCCCAGGTTTATTTTAATTAGACTTTGGAGTCTCCTTGAGACCAAAGAGTGGTCCACATTGAAAATGCTGAGGGAGTCAGCCACCTCTGACGAGGGTCCTGGAACTCTCCCCTCAGGAGTGCTGAGAACCATCGAGAAAGTGCTGCTTTAGGCTCATGTGTAACTGTGCTGTTAACACTTGTATGATAGACATTAAAAATTGTGTCATGTGAAAATCTCTTGTGTTAAATGCCTATCTGAGCCTATCTGTTGTATGTTTTCACATGATTCCCAACTCCAGTTAGTATTTGTTAACAAAACCCAACTGAACCTGACCCTAAAGGGAAGCATGGCTACCAGTCAGGGCGTCGCTTCTCCTCACCATCTCATCTGCAAGAACAGTGATTATAAGGCTATCCAAATATTCTCCACATTTGCCAGTTTAGACCAGAGCTGAATTTATTTGATATTTTCATGTGTGGAATCTTAGTTTACTGTTGTAAGCAAAAATTCCAAACCATTTTTTCCCCTGCTCTGGTCAAACGTATTTTCCTAAACAGGGAAACACGAGTCTCTAGAGGGCCAGGTTATAGGGCAGATGTAAGCAACCTTTGAATCTGAGAGCTGCCAGGGGGACCAAGGGTGAACTGACCCTACAATAAATATCCCCGGGGGGTCCAAGCAGATTTAGGGCGAGCTGCACTTAACGGGGCTTTCCAGGTAGCGGCCAACAAACCCCTGCCCTGGTCTTCATTTTGTCTAACCTCAGTCTTTCCTGGGAGTCTTTCCCAGTATAAACTCATTTCTCCCAGGGGACTAAGCCAGGGTTTCAAGTCTGGCAGGCCCCCGTTGGGGCAGGGTGAGAGATAAAGGCAGCACCTTAAGCCTTTTACACTTTTAAAACACTCCATAGTGAAGAAGTAGGTACTAGCTGCTTATTTTGAACATTTAGGAAGACAAGTGTCCTGGAATCTGTGACTTCAGTTCAAAAACCCATAGCTTCTGGGGCGCCTGGGTGGCTCAGTCGGTTAAGCGTCCAACTTTGGCTCAGGTTATGACCTCATGGTTCGTGGGTTCAAGCCCCGCATTGGGCTCTGTGCTGACAGCCAGCTCAGAGCCTGGAGCCTGTTTCAGATTCTGTGTCTCCCTCTCTCTCTCTCAGAAATAAATAAAGAAACATTAAAAAAAAAAAAACCCCAAGTAACCTCAATACAGGTTAATAGGATTAGGTGTTTGCTCTGAACGCTCCCTGCCCCTCCTTGTCCGGGCACCTGTAACGCTAGGCCAGCAGGTTTGCAGCTTAGCCAGGAGTGGGGCCGAGTGGGGGAGGGAAGGAAGACCAAGACAACTCGGGCCTCTGACCTGCTACTAGGTGAGAACGTGGGTCCCGAGGACAGCGCAGCCAGCTAGCAGCACCATGTGTTGGGAATAGGAACGTGGTGGTGAATGGTATGGAAGTCTAGGGAGAGAGGGGATGCCTTCCCGGGCCTCAGTGGACAGATTTGCTTAGAGCAGGGGGGAAACATCAGTCTTTAACTTCTGATGTATGTTTTGTCCTCCCAAACAGAGGCTGCATATAAACAGCAAAGTCAGAGAACGTTGTGCAAAGACGGTATACAGCAGGTTGAGACAGAAGGAGCAATTCCTATTTACCCAAGGGGAATGGAAACGTAGGTCCACACAAAAACCTGCACAATAATGTTTTCATTTCTTTCATAATCCCCCCAAACCACCCAAATGTCCTTCACACCTGATAACTGCATAAACACCTGCACAGTGGAACACAGCTCAGCAACCAAAAGGAACAGGGATGTCTCTTCAATGTGTTAGTCTTCTTAGAGAAGCCAGGCTCAAAAGGCTACATGTGATATATATTTATAGGACATTCTGGAAGAAGCAAAACAAAGGAACAGAAAGATTAGTGGTTGTCTGGGGGTCAGGACAGGGGAAGAAGGTGACCACAAAGGGGCTTGAGGGAACTTCCTGGGAGACAGAACTGTTCTGTTTGATAGTAGTGGTTGTATGCCTTTGTTAAAATGCATAAAACTGTCCACTATAAAGGGTGAATTTTATTCTTTATACAATACCTTAAGAGACTTCACTTAAAAAAACAAGAATAAGGGCAGACCAAAGAATGTGTCAGAGGCCTTAGTGAGCCTTGGAACTACCGACATTTGGACCAGGGAAGGGAGTAAGCATTAAAGGCCAGAAGACAGGGAAAGCACATGGAAACTTTGCTTTCTTGGTTTATACCTTCTGTTTTAAGAGGATTTTGAAAAGCACAGCAGAGTTTTTGTAGGCAATGACTCTCCTGCAAATAAAGGATATAGCTTCCTTCCTCCATGTGTCTCTCATAAGCAGAGTATGTCTGGGGAGTGTGTAAGAACAAGGACTTGGAGATCACTAGGGAAGAAAGAGCAAGAAGAGTATAAATCTGAAGGCAGGTCTTGTTGCTGGGAGAGACTTTGAGTGCTCTTGTTTCCTTACTGATTTGAGGTCCAAAATGGTTCAGAAAGGTCACGAGCTGTCATAGCCAATGAATATGAAGTTTAATCAGCTGAAATGATGATCCAGCTTTCTCTGGTAAGGTTAAGGTGGTATGGCTAGTGGCCATAACTGACACTAATAATATAAGCCTCTTAATTTTCAAGCTAATACAGATGTCCCACTTTATTTGTAGCAAGGTGACAGGGGGAACATTTCCATGGCATTTAAGTGTGCGAAACAAAACAAAGAAAATGTAGGCAGACCCAAAGTAATGTTAACACCTAAAGCATTTATTTGGATATCTTTAAACTTTTTACATATGATACATTCCAAATTTTACAAGTTGTCCACAGATATTACAGTTATCGCCAATTTATTAAACAGATATGATTTTCCCTGATATGGAAAGTATGTTATATAAACATTTCTACAATAAACATAATACATGCGGAACAAATCATAAAAAGTAAGATGATTCATTAGGTAGGGAAGACAATTAGCTTAATGATGCACACACCAGAGACTGAAAGGGTACATGTGTTGCTATTTCATGTAAATTCATCAGACTCTGACATTCTCAGAGAATGAAATCCAGGAACATCCTCTGCTGACAAAGGACTTCTATGAAGTCATTCCTGAAAGCCAGAGTATTATTATGATTTGGTGAAATGTTTATAATCCATTTATAGAGAGGGAACCTGGACTTATGTTAAGCTTGGTGAAGATACGGAGAAAAGCCAAAGAAGTTGGACTTAACGCTAAAGGAATGGGGATGTGAAAAAGGCCAAAATAAACATTAAAATCACTTTGCCTTCCACAGGCTCAGATCTTATCAATAGAAGAAAGGCCAGAAAATGGGGGAGAGTGCTGGGTCCAAATTTGGATTTTCTTCCTGTTGGTCCTCCTCTCAGCTGGGTGAGCCAGTCTCAAGCAAAAATGGTTAAGGTCATCCTTTCAGGGGAAGGGTTCCTGTCACACACTCTCTTGGAGGAAGCAGTGAACGTGGCTTCTGCATTCCCACTTATTTTAGCCTAAAGTCTGGAATCCTGATCTTCCTCCTGGGTTTATTGCCGTGTATGCAAAGCTGAGTGGAACAGAACTTTTAGATGCAGTTCAAAACAGACTGAGTGAAAGGGTTACTTTCATTGGCTAAAAAAAATCCAAGATCCTCTTATGATTCATTTCTCCCTTAGCCCCACCTTAGAGAGGCTCAGAATGTATTCCTCCACTATTTCTGCCATCATTCTGTATATTCAAGCTCTCAGCACACGTGTATCAAACGAGAGTGGCCGTGTGGTATATGAGTTAAAAGCTAGTTTACTAAGCGGCTATCATTCTAGGAAGGCACCTCTTAGTAAGAACAATAATGTTTAAAAATAATAAAAAGCCTGGGCACACAGGCTGTCCCAGGAATT